AGACATTACGCCGTTAATATTTGGACAATCATAAAAATATCTAGACTTGAGGAATCGCTTTAAAAATTTCAGTAACTTTGAATCAAACGTAAAATTATATTCCTACAAATTTTCGTGCTTTCTAGATACTTATGTCTGATGAGGTCCCCGTTCTTATCAGTACGGGTAATTGTGCCTCCGAAATCCATGAAAGTCTATTCTAGATCATTCCAGAATAACAATAAAATAAACAAAATGAACAAAGATATAGAGAAGTGTTGAAATCCTTATAGCTTTCCAAAGGGCATCTCCACCATGCTTAGCTCTAGAAGAGATAAACGTGGGGTCAGACGACGGCTTCTCAGATATCTGTCTGCGTCTCTTCGTCCCACACACTATTCCTCCCTCTATTTCACAATGTAGTCAGATGCGTGAAGATGCAGAAATGGGTGGGGGAGAAAAAATAAAATAAAAAAGAGAAGGGAAAGGCCTTCAATGTTTTAGGAAATCCGAGAGAGAAGAAGCGAGGAAAAGAGCCGTAGGAGAGCATACATTCCCCCGTCTGGGTCCCTTTTAGAAGGCGTGCTCTCTCGGCTCAATTATATGCTTGCTGCTTCTTTTTTTCCAATGGTCCCAGACGACGTTGACGTGAAAAGAGGAGTAGGAAGAGGAAGAAGAAGAAGAAGAAGACTACTTTTTCCCATTCAGAACCAACTTTTTCGGAGAAATGCACCAATGGAAAAGGAGAAGAAGACGTGTGGCTAAGCCCTTTGATGAATCAGTACGGCTATTCGTTTCAGGTTTTCGACATTCTCTAATCTCACATTGCCCATCTCTTTTTCTTCTTTTTTGTTGCCTTTTTTTTGGTATGTATGAATGCTTGGAATTGACAAAAAAAACAACAAGATAAAAAAATAGAGCATCGTAAAAAATGATGTTTGTGCATTGGAATTTAAGCAAGTTAAGAGAGATGAATTGAAGACTGAAATCTATTTACCAACGAGGATGCGGCCTGGAGGAACTAATAAGGGATGGCAGAGAAGATTGAAAAGATGGAAATGATGGGTTTCGAGGCAATTTTTGCAGAGCAAAAAGAGCAAAAAAATTGCCCATTTCAAAAATTTCCGTATTTGCTCTAATAGAAGATCAGCGAAACAGTCAACTTTGAGCTAAATCATCTCGGTCCTTGTGAACAATATGAAATTTTGGCGAACTGATAAAGTATTGGTGATATTATGATAAATAATTTATTAGTTGCCAACTTCTTGGTTTGGATGGGCTTCTACTAGAGGAAATACGGTAAGTCCAAAGGTGAATATTTGGTCAAGTCAAATTTATTCCAATAGCTTGAGTCGCTATCTCGATATCAATATGAAGAAGCAGCCTCAGAATTGATTCAGAACAGAAATGCGTTTAGTTATGATAACGATTTGATCTCACGACACAACTTTGGCTGTGAATTAATTTAAAAGCCTACTGACTTAAATTTCGAGTGAAAACTCTCTTTTTTTTCGCTTTTTAGCCGAAAATTCGAGAGTGGGCGGAGCTTAGGTCTTTCCATTTCTTTCTGAAATTTATTGTAAAATCGAAAAAAAAGCTAGAAAATAATTACGAAATTGTGCTTCTTTAAATTCGTCTTCAAGGATTCAGCTACCGGACCTAAGCTCCGCCCAACCTTGATATTTCGGCCGCAAACAAGAAAAACTGCGCACTACGCTTTCCCGAAAAAAACAACTGTGGACTATGCCGATCGACACATTGCACACAGATATTTATTTTTTACTAATTCGGTTAAAGAATAAAAGTAACTGAGAGACTCCAGTGAAACAGAGAAGATAGTGAAGGGATAGAAAACGTCCGAATCACCGAACCGGTTTTACAAAAACAATTCGATGAAACACGAGAATCTCCACGGCCGTCCGTTTTACACGGTATTCGGTGTGATTTACGAGGGAAAAAACTGTCAATAAGTGAATCGAAAACGATGTGAATTTTGATGAGGCATTTCAGAGAGCGAACGGTAAAAAGTAAGGGTGTGGAGATAGGGGAAAAAAGAAGAAGAAGAAGAACTGGTATATCGAAAGAAGAGACAGGTTGTAATAGGTTTGCAAAAGACAGATAGGGGAGGAGGACGTCATCAAAAAGTGATTTATTGGGTAAATCGGGATTCTATATTCGTGTTTGTTCTAGAAACTCTTCTCGGAAATTGTGATCAATGATAAAATGAGTCATTGCGGGAGAGACAGGACTGGCATAGCATATTGCGGTATACAAAGGGAATTATGCGAAACATATGACATCACCACTAGACAATAAAATTTTGAAATGAACACCATAAAATTCGGAAATTTCAAACATTGTTTATTATCAGGTGCGGTGGGGGAGTGAAAATCTCTAATTTCAGTTAAAGTTTAGGGGCATTGAAGAAGTTGTTCAATGTTTAACGTCACTCGGATATTTATAATCACAGTACAGGGTGGCTCATAACTAGCCTGATCAAAGTTTGCACCAGCAAATTATTTCTTCAATTTCCAGCTGAGTTATCGTTTTTCAAAATTTCTTCAACTCATGAGAATCACATGAATCATTAAACCGTTCATCTTCGGACAATCATAACAATACTTAGGCTTGAGAATTCGCTTTGAAAATATCAGTAGCTTTGAATCAAAAGTAAACTATATTTCCAACCATTTTCGTGCTTCCAAGACACTATAATGTCTAAAGATATAAATACCCATTTTTATCAGAATTGTGCGCCACACACGTCCTTCTGTGTGTCTGTCTCCTTTGTTTAAAACCAACATTGTTTGATTTTTGCAACCCATCACCCTAATTTCCAACCTATTTCCAGTCCAGTAATTCCACGTGTCTCCCATAAGTTCAAAAGCTAATTAAGACGATCTCTGTTCATCCTCTGAATCCGATCAACCAATCATTCTTTGAATTGAACATTCAGTTCACTCCAAAGAATCATCATCAGGCAGGAAATAAATAAAACCTTGATCGGTTTGACCTAATCATTAGTCCAAATGATAAGATAATGATTGATGAAGGAATGGAACCAGCGTGACTGTTTTTCTATTTACTACAAACAAAAAGTGATTTATCGCAAAGTTTCAAACTCCCAGTTTTTTCTCTATTTTCAGATGAAACATGGTTGTAACAATTCTCGTTTTCCCTCTCTCCAATTTCAAGATAACCATCTTCGAGAATAAGCAACTCGTTATAATTTACGATTGTTTTCAGATGGCACTTTCACTCAATCTTAGAAGACGTCAATTTTGCAAACAACAGAAACACTCCAAAGATCATTTTCAAACTACAATACGGTTTCAGAATGATAGAAACGCGGCAGAGGCGTTGGAGAAACACGGGGAAAACCTGATGATGCTGTTTCCGATCAGAATACAAGAATTCAAATCACCAAGAAACCGTGTCTTGACCTATTCAATTGATTCCAGATTTAGCGAGAGTGTCAAATCAAAGTTCAAACGATGTCTCATCATATCTTCAGATAATATTGTCCTTTTCTTTTCCAAAACTGATGAAATTTTGTTGGGTTTCACCAGGGATCTCGCTGCAAATTTATATATTAAAACATTTCTGAAAATAATTTTTAGCAGAAAGTTAAAAAAATTGTCTAAACAAGAATAACTGAAAGTCGGTTTTGAAAATACACAAAATGTAGGAAAGCTGAAACTTTCAGATTAGAGGTTTCTGAATCATTCCAGATTAATATATTATGCTGTTTAGGAAGAATTGGAGTTGTGGAAGAGAAAATCTGGTGGCTGCGGTTACGGCCGAACTACTGTAATTAGTAAACATTTTTGTCACATATTCCTCGGTTTACGTCCGTTTTCCGGCAATTTTTTAGATTTCGAAAAAGTTCTTTTCCGACTTGTAAGGTGATTTTCAACGCAAAAGTTGTCGAAAAGCAACATTAATCGAGAAAAATGAACGAAAGTTTTAGGTTACGGTATTGGTCGTTGTGATGCAACTTTTCAGACTTCTCAATCTCTCCAGAATGATATCGAGAGAAAATTGTATATTTATCAACCTTATATTTATGCAGATAACGAGGTTTAATTTGGTATTATTGTGTTTCATTTCCAGTATTTCCCTCCCCGTACCAAGTTACCGTAAACACTCAAACAGAGGACACCCAATACTTGCACTTCGAGCTCAATTTTCTCAATTTCTATGAAAGATGTCGAAAATGAGTCAACTGATAAAATCTTGGCGACATTATGAAAAACATTATATCAGTTGACAAAATTTTGATATCTATTATAAAAAATGAAATATAAGGGCTCAAAGTTCAAGTATAGGGTGGACTTCTATTTTTGGAGTATTTATGGTAAATTTTGAAATGTTGCGTATCGTTCAAATTCAGAAAGGAATTTCGTAATAGTAATCAGTTAGTCAGTTTGAGGAGAGTTGGTGCACGATTGACAATGTAAACTATATAACTTGTATTGACAGTTTCTTGGAATTTCCAGCAGACGTTTTCAGAAATTCCTGACCTCATTTGACTCTTCTTGCATTAAAGATTCTACAGAACACCAATCAAGATAAATCCCAAAATATTCCGGAATTTCCAAATAATAATGATCAAGTTTCATTTTTTTAAATCAAAGTCCAAACAATCTATCATTTCTTCATTTAGAAGATAACCTCCCAGAATCGGAAACAAATCGACCTCTTCTACTGGGTTCTCTTGTACCTTTCCTTTGATCGAACAACGTCATTGATAACCCTATTTTTTTTTTTCATTCCTCCATAGTTCAAAGCGTCATCAGCAGCACTATTTTGGGTGTTTTCTCGTCTATTAAAGAAGGATTTTCTTAAAGAAATAGTGACGAAAAGAGAAAAACAGAGAGCTCGAGCAAGAGAGAGTATCCATGGAAACTAGAAGAGGAAACAGACGTTAATCTGAATGGAAGAAAGATAAGGGAGGAGGAGGGAGAGGAAGGTGTGCTCATTCCAAAATCATTGAGAGCATTGGTCGCTGGTTCTGTGAGATGTCGTCTCCGGAGAGCCATTTTTTGATTTGTCGAGTATGTGACGATTCGAATGGTCAACCGCATTATGGAACTATTTGTTGTCCGTAAGTTTCTGGAGAATTCGAAATTAAAATTGTGCATATCATCCGGGCTAAAGTTTATACAAATATAATGTAAACTTTGAGTAAAGCATGTTACTGGGCTCAAATTTTGAGTGCGAAAATTCAAATAATTCATCAGTAATCTGGCCTAGTTTCAAATTATTTTATTAGCCGAGGTACCGCTTGTCAAAATTGTTTTATCTCATGAAAATCAAAATGGTGTGCAAGAAACATCTTTGGCTTCTAGGCATCGAGCTCAAAATGCCTAGACTTGAGGAATCGCTTTGAAAAATTCAGTAGCTTTGAATCAAACCTCAAATTATATTTCTAGCAATTTTCGTGCTTCCAAGACACATGTCTGAAGATATACCGTTTTTATAAGTTATTGTGCGCCACTCTGTAATGTTTCAAAACTTTTGGCGGTACCGTATTGACGCCCAGTCATTAAAGCCTTCTTGATTCTTCTGAAAATTCAAACTGTAGCATTTGGAAATTGTCTTTTTCATTTTTTATTTTAAAAATGATGTTGTCCTATAGCGATTACATGCTCATCTTTTCGTGTGTTGTTTATACTCTGATCATATGATATTAGAAAAAATAAATTGTATTGCAAAACGAAAGTATCATAGTTTCCATGTCTAGAAATTGTAACACAGCTGGGCCTATATCTGATTTTTTTTTTGATGTGATAACGATAAGAAATCAAAAGGATAGAATTAAAATTTCAAGTTGAGTTTCCAGAAGTTGCAAAGGATTCTTCCGTCGTGTCTACATGTCAGAAAAGAAGTTCGAATGCTATCGTGGTAACATGTGTGTCATCGAGAAGGGAACCCGTAATATATGCAGAGCATGTCGGTACAAAAAGTGCCTTCAAGTTGGAATGAACGTCAAAGGTATCCTCCGTTCGATCACAAGACACATCGTTTCTAATCACAACAATCCCATGTTTATATGCTTCAGATATCCGCGGAAAGTACAATTCGACCAGCACAGATTACGAAAGATCGAGCTCCTCCGCGGAAAGTACTCCAAAGAGCTCAAAGGATACCGAGTTGGGTGTGTCCGAGGCGATGGAAATGGCACAGGTTTATATGAATTTAGAGAAGTGAGAATTCTGAAAATGGAAATAAAAACGGATGATGAATCAAATTTTTAGGTATTGTGAGAACAATTATTGTGAATCTAACATGTGTCGAGATGAGGAAAATTTACTGATAGACCGAATGCTGAACAGTAATGTTCTGGAATTGATCCAGAAGACGTCACCACAGTGTCCACGATTTAAAGTTAGTAGTTCTTGTCTTCTCGAAAATGATTACGGTACAATTTTCAGAGAGATTGGAAACCTCTGGAAATTTTGAATCTTGAGAACTTTTGCCGGAGTTGGTCAAGGTCTATCGTGCACTTTTTAGATTTTGCAACTAGATTTCCAGTTTTTAATCAACTATCGACAAGTGATAAGGTGGTACTTTGAAAAAACCCAATAGAAAAATATACAATTTGTTTTCAGCGTGCCTGGTTTATTAGTCGCCTTGCTCCGTGTTCCTTCCTCACAATGGCTTATCAAACACGAGTGGAAATGTGCGAAGGCCTTCTTTTCGGCTGCTCCAATGTCTATCCGTTGAAATCGGATCGTTGGACTTCTGTAGAAAATGAGCATTTGAGAGGATTATTCTCTTCAATCACTGAAACTATGTTCTCGTTTGTAATCTACCCGATGATGAATCTCAAAATCACAGATCTCCATTATTCACTTCTCAAAGCATGCGTTTTCTTCTCAACAGGTGATTTTTTTCAGAAGATTTTATTATTGCTCAGTTTTTTCCAGGTATCGTGGTAACATCTGTATCTGATAAAGGAATGGAATTAATGAGAAATGAGTACGCGAAGCATAAGAATGCACTATTGAAGTTATTGATGAATGGAGTATGTACTCGGTTGTTATGGATAATAATTGGATTCTGATTTTTGCAGGTGGAAAATTTCAGTGAGCAAACGGACATTCTATTCCAAATCCAGGACGTACAAAACACTTTGGAGGTGATTTCTAGAAAAGTAATTGGTGGAAAATAGGATTACGGTAGAAAAACAATCTTTGAACACCTGCTCTCCAAATAGAACTTTTCCCCCAATCCACATAAATCCTTATCCTCTTTGGATCATCAATCAGATGAAAGAAGATATTATCTTTCATATGATTTCAACGGAGAGACACATCATAGGGAATAATATAAGAGGGTTTTGACCATGAAGAATTTTTTCACAGCTTTTCGAATGATTGAAAACATGAAAAATCTTCTTTGAGATAAGATGAAAAATATGATACGGATAATCAGAAACGGTTTTGCAACCGCAAAAGTATTTTCTAAATCTAAAAAATTACCGGAAAATGGACGAAAATCGAGAAAAAATAATTAAATTAAAAAGTATTTCCTAACTACGGCAGTTAGGCCGTGGCCGCGGCCGGCAGATTTTCTCTTCCATAGCTCCGGGTTTTGCACACCACCATAATAGTCCTCTGCAAAATATGTTCATACACCCTCGTTTTCCTAAATCGGCTTCTGACGACTTCTTGTTCCGACCAGATAAAAAACAACCAAAGAACACCGTCATAATTCTGAAAATTTCCTATCAACCCTAAATAGACTCAAGTCGCCCACTCTTATCCTGATATATAATAAATCAATATACTCTCAAAAAATAAATATGAAACAAATAACTTTCTCAAAACTTTGTTCAAATAAGCCTCTCGAAGGATTGAACTTGTGGGACGAGTATTAAATAAAATCTTCAATTCGGGGGTACAAAATACTTGAAAAAAGGCTTAGTTTTGTACCCCCGAATCGTGAATTTTGTACCTCTAAATCACTTTGTACCCCGTTGTACCCCCGAATTGTTGTACCCTCTGAATTATGTGCCGCCACTACCGCACGATGGCATACATAAAAGATAGCCGTAAGCAGAGTGAACACTTAGAATTGTAAACCGTTACGTCAGGATGCATACCCTAACTCCAAAAACTCCAAATCTCCTTCCCATCCCTTTTTAAAGTTAAAATTTTTGCAGAGAATATCCGCCCACTTTGATCAGGAAATCCAATATTTCCATTTTTTGGGACTTCCCATCGTAAACAAGAATCTACTCGTCGAATGCCACATTAATAAAGTTAGCTGATAAATGGTTAATATTTTTTGTAAAGTTTCGAAAATAAAGATTCTGGATCATCGAATTAACAAGCAACATAATTCAGAGGGTACAACAAAAACGGGCTGGCTGCTGATTTGGCAAGTACCGAATCTTCTTTAATAGAAGCTCACCAAACCGTCAGCTTTAAGCTCAATTATCTCGATTCCTTTGAAAGATATCAAAAAGTAGTAAATTAATAAAATGTTACCGATATTATGATAAATGTTTTATGAGTTCATACGGTATATCATACCCTTTTGATGTCTTCTACAAGGACCCAGATAAAGTTGGTTCTCAGGTGAAAGTTAGGGGTGGCCTTCTTTTAGAGTGTTTACGGTTATCGAATACAGAACCCGACATCATATTATCAATACCTATGAATACTATTCAAAGTTATTATCGTTATCATGTTGTCGCAAATCTCTGACCAGCTGCACTTGACTATCTCTCTGCCTCTCTTTGTGTTCCTTTGTTTCAAGTGCTCAAGAGTCTCTGGATATCACATACCAATGTTTTCAATGTGTTCTCTTTTTGTTTTTCTTTGTTCTTTGTACATGATTTTAAACTTTAGAATTGGAGTCATTGATTCCTTACGGCATTTGACTTTACTTTCACAAACCGACCTCCCGACTTCTATTTTTGTGTCGTTAGAACCCAACAAAATTTCAATTACGAACCCATTTGCATATTCTTTCATTAATTGTGGAAGAAGAAAGTAGGCAAACAGACTCCAGAACCACCGCCACCCTCTCCCAAATTTGAATATTCCGAAACGAAAGTTGGCACGGTGTCGAGTTACAGCCACTTGGTGACCATTCAGAGAGTGTGCACGTTGGAGAGACGCAGAGAAGGCGTTCAGTTGAAGCACCATTTCAGAACTCGACACTTCTTTATTTTGACTTTACGATTCAGGAAAACGGAGACAAATTTGGTGTGGTAACTTTTGCAATGAGTTCTCTTCCTTGACGATTAGCTTTTGAAGTTCTAGGCAGCTTTTAGAATTCGAATAAGCTCCGAAATACTATAACGAGGGATTTCACCATTTCAATCATTTTAAACTACCCGTAGCTGCCTGTATTCCTCAAACATTGTCCCTTTTGTCCACAGTAAAATATCTCGTAGAAGGGCACCCACATAGTCCAGCTTGAACTCAATTATCTCGATTACTATGCAAGATATAAAACATGAATTAACTAAAAAAACACTTCTGACATTATGATAAACAATTTATCAGTTGACAACTTTTTTAATTGCTTTAACAGGAACCGAGATAAATTGGCCCAAAGTTAAAGATATGGGGCCCTTCTACTACATGTCTTACGGTAACATTTTTTATCAAGTTTGATTTAATTCAATCGGATGTTCTTTGGGGATTTTTTGGCTATGTGTAGCTTTTCCAGGACTAGAACTTTTAGGAACATTTGAATGCAGGTTACAGAAAAATATTAGTATATTATGACCTTCTAAAGGGTGAAAATAGGGAACTATCTGAACCAGGTGGCGTTGATCATCCTTCCAGCGTCCAGTTTCCTAATGCCATGTCTTTTCCTTTTGTCTAGTTTATTTTTTGATCTACAGTACCATTTTTCTTATCAATCCATTAATCCATTTATCTATCCATCTATCTATCAAATCTGCTCCTCCCTTACAGAAACAGTACTTTCTCATCTCCGCCTACACTTTATATCCATGATTCCATTTTTTTCCCTTGTTTCTCTAAATATCCATCTCTCATCCGATCTTTTTCTTTGGGTAGACTCAGGCTTTTGTATACATATTTTGCGATTACATTTTTTTTGCCCCATGTTGACTGGAGAGAGATGCACTGTTTGACAAGAAAAGAGCAACAAGAGAGAGCTCGTCTCGATCTGCTGCTGCTCCTCCTCCTACAGAAGAAAGATTCTTTGTTTTTTTGTGCTTGCTTCTACTTCTTATTTGAGGTGTCTCCTTTGTGAAATGCAACTTTTTTCGCATTTACCTTCTTCGAGGCGAGAGAGAAAGAGTAAGCGGAAAACGACGCGCGCGCATTTTCTCGAGACTGTGAATTTGATACTCTGTGAAAAAGTGAGGAAGAGGATTTTGGATTTTGCAATATTTCAATATTTCTATGCAATTTTTTAAACTTCTAAGTTTTATGATCTTCTGATCTGTCCCGGAAAGACACATTGATTTTGTGAACCTGTGTGTTGAATTACCGTAAACCCACTAATAGAGCGCTTCCTCAATTTTCAAATTTAAGCCCGCTCTGTCCCTGTAAAAGATATCAAAATTCTGTGAACTAACAAAATGTTGGTAATTTTATCAAAAGCTTGATTTTGCATTGAAACACTGAAAGTCTGAAAAAACATAAAAATGCATTTTTAAAGACAATAGTTCTTATTTCTTTAGGGCCGAAATAGACGAAAAAAGCCAAGAATTCTTGAGCGTTTTTTGAAAAGTTCTCTGTTTTTGCTTTTATTTGAAAACCCAAGCTGAGTTGATACTTTTTTGTGACCATTATTCACTTGGGTGATTATCAGCTTTCTGGTGTTTTGTGTATACCATGGATCTTTAGAAACTTAGAATTTCTATGAGATTTCCACAATCTCTTTATTGTTCGATTGCCGGATCTGTTTTTAAAAAAATACGGTAGAGCCTGTTATAGAAAGGCCCTACACTGTCTAATTTGAGCTCAATTATCTTTGCTCCTATTCAAGATATAAATATGTGTCAGCTAATAAAATGTTTGTGTTATTATGATAAACAATTTATTAGGCCCAAAACTTGCGTGTATCTTTGACAGGATCCGATAAAAATTAGCTCAAAGTTAAATGTTGAGGGCGTTTTCTATTACAGGTTTCACGGTTTGTTCCCTGATGCTCTATTTAAGGCTCCTACCACCTATTTGAGAATGCCCAAATTAGTAAAACCCTATGTCCCTTCTTCTATTCCTTTCATCACACTTCTCTCTAAAAACCATCGGACCCTATCGTCCGCACTTTCCCTCACCCTTTTCTTCCTCGTTTTCTTTCTCAAAATAAATTGTACAAACTTTATAATCAAGCCGTTGATTCATCGTTGTTCTTCTCCTTCTCATTTGACTCCCGCCTCATCCCCACTTCTCCGTTCGTCCATAAATTATCTCCTCACCCAATTGGTCCTTTACAAGTGTCCATCGGCTTCTCCCTTCTTCTTCTTATTCTTATTCTTCGTTCATCTGATTTTATCTCAATGACAATTGGCCGAAGACGAAGGAGCACACACCAACTTCCGCAGAGGGCAAATACTTTTGAGGTCCCTTGAGCAATTGACCAATTTCCATCCCCCAACACTCTCTGTCTATTATTAGTTTTGATAATCGGAGGAATAAGGACCCTCGAACTAAAAGATTGCACAAATAGGACTACTGTATCTCTCCCTCCAATTTTTTTTTTGGGTTTTTTTTGTTTCAAAGGACCGCCTGATGCGTCAATATAGAAAGAAAAAAGGTCAAAAAAGAAGTGAAAGGTTCCCACGATGATGCATAGCTATTTGAGATGGATGGCATCGAATGAAAAAAGAAAGCAACGCAAAGAAACACTATTTTTTGCGATTGCCAGTTTGAATTGGCCGCTTTTGACTAATTCATTTGTTTAGTAGTGGTTTGTGGAATTGTGATGAAATTTTGGATTTAATTCCGGGTAACGTAGCTTTTAAGACTCCTGATACGGTTGGATTGCTTGGGAGTCTGATCTTTCTAATTTTAGTGCAATTTATTTCCATTTTTGAAATTTCGAAAAAATTGGTACTAGACTAGGACCAAGTCGTCAACTTTGAACCCATATTTTTTTTTCTTTTCCTAGACTATGACCTAGATTTTCTTTTTTTTCTATCCCACGAACTAACTTTTGCTACAGTATTCCAAATCCAGGGAACGTGGTTTTCGCCATAGTTTTCCTATCATCTTCCGGCTCAATTATCTTCCTATAAGAGATTTAAAAAATCTGTCAACCGATAAAATATTGGTGATATTATGATAAATAATTTATCAGTTGACAAAGTTTTGTTAGCTCTCATAGGAACTGAGATAATTGAGCTCAAAGTGCGCTAATAGAGTGGGCTTTTATTTGAGAAAATACAGTAATCATGAAACTAGGAAACAAGAAGTTAGAATACGGTAGCTTTACTCTGTTACTTGATTTTATAATTCTCATTGGAGATGGGTTTAGTTCTCAGGAACTTTTGTGTCCATCCCAGAGTTGGAAACCAATGAATGATGTTTCTAAATCCATCTCAACTGCTGACCATCAATTATGTACCTCTTTGAGTCTCACTCCGGTTGTCATTTTTCATCGTCTTCTTCTTGTTCTTCTCCTGTTTTTCTCTCTGATTTCATATATATTTTCCATGTTCTATTTACTCTGTTCCTCTTCGTCAATCTATCATGTTACAAGTCATGAAACCCGAGATGGGCATTGCTTGTGATCAGCCAAATTTACTCATTTTCGCGACATGGGCAAATTTGGACAATTCATGAAAAAATTACATGAGGTGGCGGATACCTGAATGGCAAACACCATCTGAGCTAACAAACAGTATGCAGAATACAAACTGTTTCATCCCGTTCTCTCTGCGTCTCTCAATCTCTATGTGTGCCCGTCAAGAGCCATCTAAAGCCACCTGCATACAGAAGCCGCCATTTGTCTGGTGTTTCTCCTCTTCTCTATACTATTTCCCTCTAGCTCTTCTCTTCAGAGACCGTTCAATATAATCGCCCCCTCTGCCTGATGATTCCTTTTCTTTCTCGTTCCGCGCTCACACGTTTATTACTGCTTTTGAGGTTAACTTTTGATTACTACTTTTTCTGTTTGTTGGCTCATACTCATGGTCAATTGATGGTTTTATGGGTACACCTGGCAGATTGATCGTAAATCATTATGTTCCTAGATCAATCATGATTAGCACTCGGAGAGATCCAGTGTCCCTCTCTCTATCACTATTCTCTATTGTTAGAATGTCTCAAAGCTTTGTCGAACAACTTTGTATTTTCTTTTCTGCTTGATGCGTTGAAATTATTGTTTATTAGTAAGGTATTTTTTCGAGATCAAAATTTTTTCTTATCAGTAAAAATACAATATTTTGGTTTAATTTATTGTAAATTTCTTGTTGTAATTCTTTTTCTGCGTTCGGGGTTTTGATGAGCCCCCATACTCTCACTTTGAGCTCACTTACCTCATTTCTTCTGGAAGATATAGAAAGGTGATTAACTGACAAAATGTAGCTGATATTATGATAAACATTTTATCAGTTGACTACCTTTTTATATCTTTCCAAAGAAACGAGATAATTGAGCTCACGGTGCGTGTGTGCTCCATGAAAATTGGGAAACTTCACATCGTTCCAACTGATTCTTCCGTTATTCTTTTTCTAGTTTAAAATCGCGTTGACAGCTCATTAAGATCATTTTGATCCAATTGTCCTCTTTTTGGAGTCAAAGTGCTCTCCTTCCCTTTTGTGTCAGGAAGCAACACACCTCTAATTACTTTCTTATTATTCTTTTTTGGGCTCTCTCTTCGAAAACCACTTACCGTTTGTCACCTCCTTCTTCTCCTTCTTCTTACCCTTCTTTTTTCGACTTCTTCTTCCTCCGAAAGTGTTGACACAGGTCCTTCTCCTCTTTCCGCGGTGCCCTTCTAATTTGATTCTCTTTTCTCAAAATACGTCTGATTAACACATCGTACATTTCGCTTCGAAAGTTTCTCGGAAGAAGTGTTGTTGTGTTGTCAAAATGAAGGCAAAAAGAATTAGAGGAGTAGAAAGAAGGCATCAGATGAAGACGAAGAGGAAGAGGTCCGAATTCGGATGGGTGAGAGGGGTTTAAGAAAGGAAATGGAGAAGAAAAAGAAGGTTTGTGGAAGATGAGAGTAAGGTGACAATGGTTTTTAATTTTCTTGGGGACTTTGGGAGAAAGGTGCTGCCTTTTTAGCTCTTTGGGCTGAAACTTGATCAAGCGTTCTTTTCTTTTTTGAATTCTATTCAAAGTACCATATTCCCTCAATTAAAAACTAACCCAACCCGTCATCTTTAAGCTCAATCATCTCAATTCTTGTAAGAATTTTTCCTGTAAAAAGATCGTGTTAATTGACAAAATACTTCTGGTATTATGCTAAACAATTTATTAGTTGACATAACTTTGATATATTTTGTAGGAATCGAGATAATAAAGATCAAAGATGGGCGACGTTCCATTAGAGTGGTACAGTCTTTAAACACCCTCAAACCGTTTAAATTTAAGTGATTGTTCCTTGCTATTAACGAAATTAAAAATTAGAATTGTCAACTGATTTTTGAATGTTACCATTTTAATATTCCGACATACTTCATTCGAGAATTTATAAGAAATTAACAAGTCAGTCCGATCCGGAATCAAAAATCCTGAAGTGGATGTCATGAAATTGTTAGGATTACAGTATCGACTGTTATTTTGAAAAACGAGCAACTGTTCCAACCTTAATTTAACAAGCCAGATCAGTCAGAAGTTTTCTTTTTTTTCTATTTGGGCAGAAAATTTGAAAAAAAAAAATTCAAAACTGACCATCGTGTATTAACTATAAGCAACCGTGTCGAAAAGTGATCAACCTACGAAATGCTTATCATAGTATCACTAACATTTTATTAGTTCACCAATTTTCAATATCTATCACAGGAACTGAAAAAAACTGGCTCAAAGTTGAAATTCAAAGGTAAGAGCTCTATTAGAGTGTTTATCTAGATCATATTTCGGTGTTTCAAAAAGTCAAAGGCTAGTTATGATTCAACCTTAAAACAACCAAAAACTTCTTAGCACGATCCCTGGTCTGAAAACTTTTCTACCCGATCTGCCGCTCATTTTCAAGAGTCAGACTTCGAACAATTCAAAAATGTGAAGAGATGGAGTGTAAAAAGCAGAAAAGCAAACAAAACAGGAAACTAAACCGTTTTCTGTCTCTACCCCTACCAGACATTTTTGCGTTACTTTTTTCCACATATTTCTCAGTTGCTTTTTCGTTGTCGTCGGATGAGATGATGGATGTGCAAACTTCTCCTTCTTCTCTTGACCAAATTGGATTATATTATGCGTACTGGCATACTTGACCAAGAGCAAAAAAATAGTTGAAGGAGAAAAAAGTTGTTAGAGGAGACCCAAAAAAATGTTGTTGTGTTGTTGTGGTGGGTGCAATAAATAGTTGGATGCTTGGGATGGTGGTGGTGTCGTGTGTGAAAAAGCAAGAAGAAGAAGGAAAAGCAGAATAAGAATAAGAAGAAAAAAAGGAAGAAAAAAGGAAGAGGAGCCGAAAAGATATGCGACTGAGATTGTCGCCGGAGGAGCAAGCGAGAAAAGAGCAATGAGATGAGGGTCCCCCCATACTTTTTGGTGGTGTGGGAGCCTTTTTCATTTCAATTGTCTCTAGAGACTCTTTCATTCATTTGCACCTTTTCTTTTTTTCTCTTTTTTTAAGTTGAAAAGTCAGCACATTCCATCTGTGACTTCTTCTTGTTCTTATTCAATCCCTACTGTTTTTGACCATCTGTCGCCGTTTGGCACGTCTTCTTTATACTATTCATTCATTTAGGTCCACCCCAGTCTCCTTCCCATTCTCCTTGCTTTCTTGTCTCTCCCGCCACCACATTAGCCTTTTCTCTCTTTTTTGATTGCATTCGTGTGGTGAGAGCTTGAGGGTGGTAGTACTTATTCCAAAACAAGAAGAAGACGTTTATGAGATTGTTTCTTGAGTTTCCAGAGATCCAATTCTCATATCGACGAGTCGTTGACAACTCAACTTTATTGCCTTTCCACCACCACCACTTTTCTTGTTTCTTTTTTTTCGATTCCGATTAGGCGACGCTTATGTTGAGAATCTAAATCATCCGATTTTTTAGTCTTGCGTTTGTTAGGTGAATATTTTGAAATTCCTGAGTTTTCTAAAAATTTCCTTAAGCTTTCAGCTCAAGATTTTCCTTCATTGCCAAGTTTTGTACTGTAGATTTTTTGGAAAATATTTCTGTAGAGGAACATTTTTTCCATTTCAATAAAAACCTTTTTTCAGTAATTTATATTGCTGTAAAACCTGTGATAGAAGGGTCCCTAACGTTCAAATTTTATCCAGTTTTTCTCGATTCCTGGCAAAGACATTTAAAAGTTGTCAACTGATAAATTGTTTATCAGAATGTCAGAAGTGTTTTTTTTTTCAGTTAATACATGTTTTACATCTTGCATAGTAATTGAGATAATTGAGCTCCTTTTTTAATTGAGCTCAATTATCTCGGTTCCTATGAGAGATATCAAAAATGAATCATAAATATTTTATCAGTTGACAGTTTTTTGATATCTCTCATAGGAACCGAGATAATCAAGTTCAGAGTGTTTTTTTCTAACTTTCCACCGTTATTCATATTTTTAGAACAATCAATCACAGACCATTTCCATAATTTCCATGTATTTTTTTTTCTATTCCACCCCTTCCATCCGTTTCAAAATACAATTAGTCATAGGTGAAAAATCCGTACACATTATTATGAAATATATATCTAATCCTGAAAACCAGTTTTTCAAAAATAACCGAAGAACCAAAATTAGGATCCTTCTTCTTTCCATCAATTCTATTCAATTCAATTAAACCTCTTCTCCAGTGTTCTTTTCTCTTATTGCACCTGTTCTACCAATTATTCCCTTATTCCTTTCCTCTCTTTTTTGATCCAATTTTAGTTATTGGATGAGAGTAGAAGAGAGTTGAAGCATTGGGCTGGTGTCGCAACGACAGTTAATCAGGTTATGATGTGTTCGGTCTTCCGGTGCTAATGACTAGTTACCGAACACACACTTTTCACTCAAATATCACAACAAATCCGATTGAAAAATGTCCCCCCGTCCGACTGACCGTCGCCTGTGTTCCCTATTTCATTTCCAAATGTCCTTTGATACCTAAAAAATCCACTCCTTTGGAAAATTGGAAAATCTGAATAAGTAACCTTCATCGAGTCTCTGGTTTCGAAATTGTTTCATAACAAATTTGTTTTTTTTCATTCATGTCATTTGTTTTATGTTTTGAAAACATACGCTTTTTATCGTTTGTTTTTTGGAGGTTACAAAAGTGGACCCTGGGAAATTAGTTAGGATTCAAATTTTTTAGAATACGGTGTCCCCAGTTTTTTTCAAATCTTTTTCTCCTGAAAACTCACAAATACCTAAATTTTTTACATTCCTTTTAGAGGGACTCCGACCAAAATTTTTCTCTGTGCCTTTTTTTGCATTTAAATGTTTCAAAAATTATGTACTTTCCTAATATTATTGTGAAAAAATTCGAACAAAATTCGAAATCCCTGAAAGACGCCGTTGCAAGCGAAGAAATTTCGAAAAGAAAAGATTGCGAATAGGGACAAGGTACTGACTTTTAAACCTTTTGTAAAAAATAAAAATTTTCGAATCTAAGCCAAGGGTCCTGCCGCAGACGCTCATCAGTGATTCAAGAGCAATATACTAGGGTTGATAGAGGTTGCAGAAAAGCAGGCTCCGTCGCCATATTTGAACTAATTTTATAATGTCATTTAGGGATATCCTAGCCAGAAAGTCTTTACGGAAAA